TTGCTCATGAGCCCAAAAGGAAACCATGTACCCATTAAACAGTCCATCCCACTTCCCTCCCCCACCCTCCATGTCAGCCACTTATCTGCTTTCCAGCTGGATGAATGTGCCTGTTCGTGGCCTTTCACACAAACTGCATTATGCAATACATAGCCTTTTGCACCTGGCTTTTTCACTTAGCATTTCACCAGGTTCATCCAGGTTATAACACGAATCAGAATTTCACTCCTTTTTATGCCAATATTCCATTGCACGAATGTGTCACATTTTGCCTATCCATTCAACAGTTGATGGACACTTGGGTTGTTTCCACTTCTTTGTCATTACAAACGGTGACCCTGTGAACATTCCCGTACACATTTTTGTCTGCATACCTGTTTTCAATTCGTACAGTCCGGCAACACTTTCTGAACAGTTTGTGTCTTCCCCCGCATTGATCTGTAGTTCCACCTGTCAGACACTAAGTTTCCATACAGGGGGTCTCTTGCTGGGCTGAGGTCTGATAATCCATCCCCATAGCAGCGTCCATTGTCAGAGCTTCAAGGTACATCATGGTATCTGGTTGAGCAAGTGCTCAACTCCTCCCTCCCTGCTTTGTCAAAACTGTCGTGGTTTAGATCTGGCCCTTGGCCTCGGGAGCAGCTCATCAAGTTGCACAAAAACTCTGTCGAGCTTTGGTTTGGAGCGAGGGGTTGGTTTGGAGAATAAATTGCCATCTTTACGATGACGAAGATTCCCAGCACACACATGGGTCCCTTTCTTCCCACCTCAGGACTTTTGCACATGACTGTTTGGGTCCCTCTTCCACTACCCATCTAGCAAACTCCTCCTCCCCCCAGGCTCAAGGTCCTCTATATCTGCATTTCCCCCTCAGAGCCCTGTTCGTTCCTCGGGAAATCATTAACTGGGCGTGTCTTGGTTTAATGTCTGGGCTGTGGACTCCTCCAGGGCTATGAAGCTGCCTTACTTGTTTACCTTGGTGTCTTCCCCTTGAAGAAGAGGGGCTGTCACATAGTAGGGTTCTAATAAATATCTGTTACAAGAAAGAAGGAGGTAAAGAGAAGAGGGCTTTCAGGCCCCAATGCTCTGGCCATACCTAGAGAGTTGGTGAACAAAGTCACTTCACTCATCTGTGCCTCGGCTTTCTTCCCTGGAAAATGGGGATGTGATGAGGGTGTGCTGAAGATTACGTGGGCTCAGATATACGTGGAGCACTTGGAGCAAAATCTGGCCAGTGACCAGAGCTGGTGCCTCCGGGACCCACCCCTCATCTCCATGAATATTCAGTCTAATGCTCTTGTGATGTGGCAGCTGGCTCCACAGCCCTGTCACCAACAATTATCTTATTTTGACTTTACCTCCCCCATGAACTAGTCATCTTATCCCATTTTGCATATAAGGCAAACGAATCTCAGAAGGGAAGAATGACTAATTCTTAAACCTAGAACTCCTGACCCCAAGACCAGTGAGTACGGTCTTTAAGGTGTTTTCCGGCTCAGATATTCTGTCAGCAGAACTGAAGTTAAATTTTGAGCACGACATGGATCCTCTCAAAGCAAAACAAGAAAACTTCCAGACCCACAGTGTTGACTGAAGTTATATTTATCTTATTGTTACTGAAATATGTATAAACCTAAAGTTAAGCAAGAACTCCTCATGCTCCCAGCTCTGTAAACCAACCACAGAGCCCAAACAAATCTAAGAAAACAGAAACATGGCCGCGAAACCAAGAAAACCCAGATTAAATTAATTGGGCTGATGATGTGTTGCTGAAATCAAACATCGGACACCAGGTGTAACAATAGCAGAGTAATGTTTTCACATGTTTTATGTTTCCGGTGTCATCATATTTTGCTTTTGATCGTGGTGAGCGATCGCTTGAACCACTGTCAGAGTTACTGTCATTGTTTTCTTAAACACACACACACACACACACACACACCTCGTTTACAATCCAGTTTGATGGGCTGAGCAATTCAAACAATGCATTCTCAAATGCAATAATGAAAAATGGGAAATAATGCACTTAGGATAACGCCGCTCATTGTATGTTTACAGTGATAACTCACTGCTGATGAGCAACTTGAAGTGTGTTCACCAAAGAAATAATGGCCCCGTTTATTATTTCTAGCAAAGGGCCCCTTGTGGTCATTGCCATGGAGCTCCTCATTCCTGAGCTGCTGTGTGGGGCTGCTGAGTGGGGTTCCCACTACTTTCCTCCACAGGACCCATCAGGAAACTTCATTCTCCCAAGCTCCAAGGCGTCACCTGGCCCACTTCGGGGCCTCTGTAAAGACCTTCAAGTATTCAAGCAGTCTCTGTTCCTTTCTCAAGAGTATGAAACAATTACAATGATACAGCACACTCATGCTTTGTGCCGCTTTCGTCAAAGTAGAGTTCCAATGCATTAAAATATTTAAGAAGCTAATTTCTCGGTCTCTCAGGTTGACGTTCAATGACAAATGACCCTGGCAAAAGGGAGTTTTGAATTTCCACTGGCAAAATACCGGGGTCATAAGCCCAAGAGTGGGAGCAGGATGCCTGTTGTCTGTAGCAGCGCAGGGGGAGCTAAGCAAGGGCCGGATGTGCCCACATCAACTCACCAGAAGTGAATCGCCTGTCATACTGGGCGCAGAGGCACCAACTCTCAAGTACATTTTGGGGGGGGGGGCCTTCCCTTTTAAGTAACTCCAGTGGAGAACCGCAGGGGGTGTGTGGGGAAACTCGGGCTCAAGTCTGCGAACATGCACGGGCAGGACCCGCGCTAGGTGCCCCAGTGACCGGTCTCCACTTCCGGCGCTTTGGACTTGGGGGGACCCGGGCGAGAGCGGCTCAGGCTCCAGCCCGCCCGCACGTCGCTGTCTCCGTCTGCACTCTGCCTTCCCCAGGAAACAAATGGTGGATCAGACCTCCCAGGCTCTCTGCTTCCCCGGTGTCTGGCGGCGCGCCAGGGCCCCGAGGCCCCTCCCTGCACCGCTGGGTGACAGACCCCCCCCCCCCCGCCACCGCCACCACGTGCAGCCCGAGAAGGCAGAGGCCCAGCCACCCTCACCAGGGATTTTCTTTTCTTTTTTTGCTGGTTGCAGGCTTTTTTCTGCCTGAGTGAAAATGAAACAGACACCCCCTCCGCCTCCCCGCCGGCAGACACACGCACCCGCGCTCACGCACCCGCGCGGCCGGCATCCCGGCCGCCAGTGTCCGGGGCGGGCCCCGCGCTGCGCACACACAGCCGCGGGCGGCGCAGACCCGGGAGCGCCGCCGCCGCCTGCAGAGCGCTCGCCCGCTGCCGCGCGCCCCTGCCCGCCGCCCGCCGCCGGGAGCGCAGGCTGCACACCCCGCCCCGGCGCGCCCCGCGGGGCTCCGGCACAGGCGGCGCGGCCACCGTGCGGGCCGCCGAGGGCGCCGCCGGGCCGGGCGGGGGGAGCCGAGGCGCGGTCCGGCCCCGAGGGCGCCCGGGCTCTGCGGATCAGGTGGGTCCCGCGGGGCGCCGCCCGAGCCCCGGGAGGCAGGAGCTGGGCCCCGCCCGGGGGGCTGCGGGCGTGGCCCGGGGGCGGCGGGGAAGAGCGGCGGGCCACCGCTCCGGCCCTGCCCTGTTTCTGCCTTGCCTGCGTCCCTTTTGTTCTCGTCGCTGTCTCTCTGCCCCGGTCCCTGTCCCCATCCTGTCCCTGTCGCCGCCTCCGCCCAGCCTCCAGGCTCGCCAGCCGGGCTGCGGGCCGGGGTCCCCCCACGGGGCCGGCGGGGTGGGGGCGGGAGAGAGCAGCCCCGGGGTGAGGGGAAGAGTTCGCGGTAGGACCCCCGCCCGCGAGGAATCTCGAAAGGAGCGAGGGGTCTGTCCTCGCCTGTGGGGCAGGACAGAGGGGGTGGCTCTCACCCTGGACTACTCGGGAAGGGGATGCCCCTGGGGAGGGAGGAGCCCGAGGGGATGAAGAGAGGGCCTAAGCCCCTGAAAGCTGGGGCACAGGGGAGGAGTGGTCCGAGAGCGCGGACCGAGCCAAACTCGGCACAGCGAAAGTTTCAAACGTTTGTAACTTTGGCAGCAAAGGGGCCTGCTGCACTGGGGTGAGGGGAGGAGACAGGGTCCCTTCAACTTTACGATCGGCCCGTTCCTGCTCGAAAGGGACACCACCCCGCCTTTGAAAATGGCAGAAAAACAGCTAAACAGAATGATTGCACAAACTCTTGAAAGGCATCCAAAAAACAGTAAAGTGGAAAAAATTGTTAGCGCGGAGGAGAGAAGCAGAGCGACTTGAGATTTCCCAATCTTCCCGCTGACCGGGCCGGGAAGGAGGTGGAAGGCGAGGAGGGTGTCAGTGTCTCTCCTCTCCGCCTCCCCCCTCCCCATGCTACCCCCCCCACACACCCGCCCCCGGAAGGAACCGGGACCAGGCGGCTGCCTCTGTGGCTTTGCTCACAGCCCTTTGCGCTCCTTCTGGATCTTGCGCAGGCCTCGCCTCCTTCATTTACCTGGAAACAGGTATGTCTCAGGATGCGAAGGTGGGGGTGGGGGGGACCCCAGGCGTCGCTGCCACTTAGCTGGGAGACACTAACCCAGGGGAAGCCTCAGTTTCTGCAGCTATGAAATGGGGGTGCTGCTCTGAGTAAGACCACGCCAGTGTGGCAGGGCCAGCGTGTGCGCTGTGCCGTGGGGACATGGTTACTCTGTTGCATTCTGTGCGCCTTTGGCTACACTAAGCAAGCACGTTCTACCTCGTTCTGAGTTATTGCTGGGTGTACCTTGCCTCCCCTACCAGATGGGGGGGTGCAGGTGTAGGTCTCATGGTTAGAAGTGGCAGGTAGTCAGTGACTTAATAAGGCAGTGCTGGAAGTATCCCTAGGGTTTACCTGTCCCTGGAGACTTCAGACTGCACTCCTGGGAGTCCTGAGATTCTGGCTGTAGAGTCACCATGGTGGGGGAGGGGAGCCTACGGGGCAGGGCTCTGCCCCCTCCCTTCTTACCGACAGAACAAGCTCCTTTCTGCCTTTATCTCTCCTATATATATTGGAGAAACCCCGGGGGCTGTTTTTGTTACCAGATTCCTCTGATACAGCCCGATTTGGAGAAACTGAGTCAAGAGGAATGCAAAGTGTAAGATTTGTGTAAGATTCTTTGGTGGCCAAGCCTTGCCAGGAAACCTGCCTCCTGAGTCATGGGCCAGGAGCACCTTTCCCTGGCCATGGTGGCTCGGAGCAGCCATTCGTCTGGGAGTTAGCACCAGCTCACTGGACCCTAACTCCAAGGCCTCAGGTCCACCTTCTTACCCTTCTGGGAGAAGAAGCCATGAATCACATCCTCCGAAATTTTTAAGGACTTCTGTGGGACCTTTAGATGTGAGTAAAACTAACAATTTGTTCATAGGCTCAAAAAGAATTAGGTTCCCCCGGGGGCTAGTTAGCACACTGCCACTATCTTAGCCCAGCCCAACAGGGTGGGGGGGGGGGGGCGGCGGCGTCTTTTTACCTCATTTTATAGTAGAGGAAATGAAGTTCAGAGAGGCCAAGTAACTCACTCATGGGCACTCAGCTTCTAACTCGTGGCTGGGATTTGAATGCAGCTCTGTCTGACTCTAAGGCTTGTGCTCTTTACATTACATCATCTCTCCTGATGGTTAGAAAATGGCTAATGGACAGACGTCATTAAAATGGGAGCAGGATGGGAGACTGGGCATTCATATAGGGGCATTTATAATACAAATAGAATTGTATTTGGAATGAATGTGTTTTCTGCCTTGTACATTCTTTTTGTTTTACTGTTTTTTGGTAGATACTTAAAAATTATTTTTCTAGTGTTTAATTAAAGTATAATCTAGATACAATAGCATCCACAAATTAAGTGTTCAGTTCAAACATGTTTTGACAGTTGTTCACACCTATGAAACCACCACCCAAAATGAGATGTAAATATTTGCAACATCCTGGAAAGTTTCCATTTCCAACTAATTTTCCGTCCCTCCTTCCAGACAACTATTTTCTGATTTTATTGCCATTGATTAATTTTGCCTGCTCTTATACTTCGTGTAAATAGAATAATACTGTATACCTTTGGTTTATTTCACTTGACATAGTAGCTTCCAAGATCGCTTGTATTGCTGCATATGGGAGTAGTCTGTTTCTTTTTATTGCTTGAGTAGTATTCATTCCGTTGGATGGGTTCACCACAGTTTGCTTATTTATTCTCTTATTGATGAACATGTTGGGTTATTTCCAGTTTGAGCTCTTATTTCTTGTAGAATTCTTTTGTGGACATTTGTTTTCACATAGGAGTGAAACTGATGGGTCAGAGGGTATATAGCGTTTTACCTTCCCGCAGCAAAATAAGGGTCTTGCGATTATCCCACATGCTTGACCATGTTTGGTATTGATTTGATTTTCGTCATTTTGATTTTAGCCATTTTAGGGATGGGCTGATGGTATCTTATACTTTCTATTTTTATGATGGAATTTTAAGGGCTGTTGGAGAAGACAGCATGAACAGAGGGCAGAATATAAAATAAGACGGGGGCGCCTGGGTGGCTCACTCAGTTATGCGTCCGACTTCGGCTCAGGTCGTGATCTCGCGGTTCGTGGGTTTGGCCCTGCATCGGGCTCTGTGTTGACAACCAGCTCAGAGCCTGGAGCATGTTTCAGATTCTGTGTCTCCCTCTCCCTCTGACCCTCCCTGCTCACTCTCTCTCTCTCAGAAATAAATAAAACATTTAAAAAATGAATATAAAATAAGACGGTGGCATGGGGGCCACTAAGAAGCCATTTCTCCGGAGGGAAGGAACCTAATGGTGGTTGGAATTGTGACCTTAGGAATAGGAAATTCTGGGTTTAGGAGAGCTCTCTGTGTACCACCTGTGATCTAAGACATGGTACTTGTACTCTATAAACTAAGCAAGTTTGTCCATGCTTATTGCTTTGTTTTTTTTTAATTGATTTTAAAGTTTATTTGTTTATTTTGAGAGAGAGAGTGAGAGCAGGGGAGGGGCAGAGAGAGAGGGAGAGAGAGACTCCCAAGCAGGTCTTGAACTCATGAACTATGAGATCATGATCTGACCTGAAACCAAGAGCCAGACACTTAACCGACTGAGCCGATGCCCGGGTGCTCTTGTGCTTATGGCTTTCAGTGCTACCTCCAGAACGATCATCTTTGGGGTCCAGTTCACATCTCTGTTGTGGGTCCCTGAGTCACGTGGTTAACTGCTCACTCGGCATCTCTTCTTGGATGTCTCAAAGACACTCGACAAGGCTAGAACACGACTCATTATCTCATATTGGCTTTCTCTCATGGGTCACTGGATGAATGATGGCACCACTAGCTGAGAGAATATATAACAAGGAACATTTGGGTCAAGAGCAGGGATAATGTATTTGGTTCCATGCTAAATGGTGTGAAGCAGCCTGGGAAGATAAGGACAGGAAGATGCTCTGGGTGCTTAGGAGATTACTGAAGTCTGCTAGGAGTAATTTTGGTGGAAAGGAGGGCAGGCAAGTTAGATTGCTGATACATGAAAGAGAAAGAAGTGGAGATGGCGAATACAGGCAACACTTTCAAGAAATTTGTGGGAACAGGCCAGAGGGAGATTGAGCTACAGTTGTAGGAAGTTGAAGGTGAAGGGAAGGATTTTAGGATGGAAAAGACAAGGGGAGAGGGAGGCCAGGGGAAGGACTCAGTCTCGGAGAGGGAAGGGATGGCCAATAGAGCAAAGTGCTAGGGGCGCGGGATGGAATGGACAGGTTGACTTTGAAAGAAGGATGGATGTTTCCATCTCTGTGACTGGGTGTGAGTAAATGAAGGTTAGAAAGCCTATCAACTACAGAATTCTCTGTTGACCCTCCAGGTGCACAGCTCATAATCATGATGTGGAAAGTTCTTCACCATCTGCTCCCTTCGTGTCTCATACAGTGTGTATCACATGATACTATCATGCAGTATCATTATATGAGACATACTGTAGTATGTCTCATGTAGTATGTATCAGCCAGCTTTGCTACAGCTATGCTGCATAACAAACAGTCCCCCCCCCCAAATCTTAACTTAATGACCATAAAAGTTTATTGGTCACCTTAGCTGACGGCTGGAGGGAGAGCAGTTGTGACTACATGGTTCTGTGGCTGTGCTGCGAGTGCCAGCCAGCCAGAAGATCTGCTCCACGTGTCTTATCATTGCAGGGCATAGGCTGAAGGAGCTGCTTCTATCTGGTATATGTCATGCTCATGGTTAGAGCTGCAGGAAGAAAGAAACGAAGCAATGCTTCTTAAAACCTTTACTCTGAACTGGCACCCTGTCACTTCTACTACTGTCAAAGCCAGCAATATGACCAAGCCCAAAGGCAATGGGACAGATGTATATACAGAACATTTTGTTTTGTTGTGCTTTGCAGATATTACTTTTTTTTTTTTTTTTCACAAACTGAAGGTTGGTGGCAACCCTGGGTCCAGACAGTCTAGGTGCACCATTTTTTGCAACGGCATTTGCTCACTGTGTGTCATCCGGGGCACATTTTGGTGACTCTTGCAACCTTTTCATGATTTCAACAAACTCTTTCACTATTACTATATTTGAATTACTGAAATCTCATGAGAGAACCTTGACAGATGAGAAGCTGGTTTATATGGATGAGCAAAGAAAGTGGTTTTCTCGAGATGGCATCTCCTCCTGGTGTAGAGGCTGCAAAGGTGGTTGAAATGACAACAAAGGATTTAGAATATCACATCAACCTGGTTGATGGAGCAGCGGCAGGGTTTGTGGGGACCGCCTCCCACCTTAAAAGAAGTTCTAACGTGGGTAAAATGCTATCAAACAGCATTGCATGCTACAGAGAGATCCTTCTTGTAAGGAAGTCAATTGATGCAGCTAACTGCACCGTTGTCTTATTTTAAGAAATTGCCAGAGCCACCACACCCTTCAGCAACCACTACCCTGATCAGCAGCCCTCAACGTCAAAGCAAGACTCTCCACTAGCAAAAAGAAACTCCAACTTGCTGAAAGCCCAGATACTGGCTAGCGTTCTTTTTTTTAACAATAAAGAATTTTTTAGTTAAGGCATGTACATTGTTTCTTTACACAGAAGCCTGCTGCACACTTAACAGACTGCAGTGTAGCATAAATGTAACTTTTATAGGCCCTATGACACCAAAAAATTCATTGGATTGGATTTGTCGTGATACTCTCTATCACGGTGGTTGGGAAATGAACCTGTGATGTCTCCGAGCTGCATCTGCGCTCTGATTGGCAGAGATCGATGCTTCGGAACAGTAATCCAACTGACCACATATTTTGTTAATAATCCCCTGATACAAATCTCCGTTTATTCTTCTCTCTCTGAACGAATCTCCATCACATGGCTGGCCTCCTCTTTCGTGCACTTGCTCTCTCTTCAAGCATGGCAGCGTGCTTTCAAATCGCTGTACCTTTGCACACATGATCCCCCTGTCTGGGAGCCTCCCCCCACCAAATCTGTGATCTAGGCAGTCCCACGTCTTTGTCGTTTTTTTACTTTCGTCCTTCTGCTCCTGCTTAGCTGAGGCACACTTGTACCCCTCTCCAGCCCGGACCCCTGCTGCTGTGGCTTCCAGTACATCTCGTCACCGCAGCCTAAGCCTCCCCAGACACCACACTCCTTGGGTTTTTGATCTCTCGCAGGCTCCCCTCTGTCCTCAGGCACATGTCCCTGTACGAGGCATCCAAGACCCTGCACGTGCCATTCTCTGAACAGCTCCTACCCTCTTCGACTTTCTGTTGCAGCCTCAGGAGTCTACTTCAGCGCCTGAAACCCTCTCCTGGTTTTATGCCCCGGGGCTTTTTCTCCATGCTGCCCCTCTGCTTGGAACCCCCTTCTTCTTTCCTCCCCACATCCACCTGCAGACTCCTACTCATCCTTCAAGACCCAGCTGAATCATCATCCTCTCTGTGAAAAGCCAGTGTCTTCATCCTGCCTCCCAGGACTTAGGCCCTTCCCCCCGGTGCCCTCCCCCACTACCCCGGGCATCCTGTACTTACACCCCTTCACAAGCGGTCGTTTCTTCCCTCTTTCTCTGTGAGCTGTGGGAGCCGGAGGGCACTCTGCCCACAACCACAGCGCTCTTTACTGACCTGCTCCAGTGGTTAAGCGCGGCCTCCGGAGGCCCACTGCTGCGTTCCCACCCTTCGTGGCTTTCGAGCCGAAGCAAGGCCCTGCACCTGTCAGCCTGGGCCAGGAGCTTCATCTCACTCCTCGGAGAGGGAGGCCAGGTGGGTCAGCTCGGGAAGTCAAACTGATAGAGATTCGGGCCGGGTACTGAAGGCACAGGGGTCATCACGCAGTATGCTTAACCCAGAATAACTTCCAAAAGTCCTTTCTATTCAG